ACAAAATTTATCAGATATTATATTTAATTATTGTTACACAATATATAGCTTTTAGAATATTTAATAAGTTTACAGATTATGTACAGTTAAAGAATATTGATCTTAAGTATATGTACTAATTCAAAACAACACAACAAACGAGTATATGTTAGTATTTGATGAATTGTATAATACTGTATGAGAGATGCAGATAATGGAGAATGTGCAAATAATTGCAAGTGATATAACACATCTTACGCTTGGTGTCAGGCATGTGACCTTCAGAAGGCAACACAAGGATGGACAAGTGAAAATAAGGATATCGACGATTGCATTAAGGAATTTCAACTTAACACTATATCTTATGAAGATGGATTCCTTTTAATAGATTAGTTAATATTCAAATGATTAGTAAAGGTGAATCTGACTCTGTATTTTCTGCGACGTGGTTAGATGGTAAAAGAATGATTTCAGGAGAATGCGCTTAAAAATAATTTTTTAAGATAAGTATGTTAAAATTCTTTATTTATGATCTAACATATTTTAAATTATTAACATTGTAAATTTTATTTTAACAAGTTTAAAAGTTACACTAAATGTAGATTAATGGGTAATAATCTTGAAGTGTATGGACTAACTCAAGACACAACTAATAACGAATATTTGATGGTTTTCAATATGCAAATAGAGGAAGTCTTCATAATTTTTTATCTTTAAATTTTAGAGTTCTTAATTGGAAAGTAAATTAAGTCAGCTTGTCGATAAATCTCAAATTTAACAAATGTACACGAAGCAGAATATTTTCATGGAGATTTTCAAGCGGAAATATATTGCAAAATCAATATATTAATGGTGATCTAATATCTTATATTTCAGATCTAGTATTATCTGGAAAGAATGATGATTCTGATTTGGAAGATGGTATTTATGGCGGTTTACCTTACGTTGCGCCAGTGTTAAATAAACTTCCATATAAAATAGCAGCTGACATTTATAGTTTTGGTATGATTATGACTGAGATGTCTACGGGAGACCTCCTCATTATTATATTGAGTACGATAAATCGTTAGCTATTCAAATATGCGATAGATTACGCCCTGAATTTGCTAAAGACACTCAGGAGCACTATATCAGATTAGCAGATCAATGTATGAATGCTAATCCTTCTGATAGACCAACTACATCTGGTATTAATGAAGAATTATCAATTTGGTATAAGATCTTAAATAACGGTAGTGCAGAAAATAAAGATGAATTAGCAATATTAAAAGCATTCCAGTCTGCAGATGCAATTATTCCAACATTGTCAACCGAACTGCCAATTTTCCTTAATTCTTTATCTGCAGAATTACTAAAAATTTACGGTGAATAGTTATACCTATTAGATCCTTAATTAATTGATAAAAGCTTTAACTACTTTTTAATTTTTTAGGTTCTAGAAATTGTGAAGTTTCGATTCTTAATAATCATTATAATTCTTCCACAGCATCACCGTCAAAAAGAAGCCCGGACATGCGATTTCTTTGATTAAGATTGACTAAGTAACCTCTTAGAGACCAACAGCTAATACAGAGCACGTATATGGAGCTATGCTGCGGTATGTAATAGTTGGAATGATAAATAAGTGGATATGTGGTGATTTGGTCGTATACTCGAAAGAGAGATAATGCATTTATGTATCGAACATATTTTATTTATTCAATAAAAGTGGGGGAGGTAACTACATACCGGAGCGAAAAAAGTTTATTGTGTACTAATATCTGCCTCCAGTACTTGTGCATACAGTGGCAATCATAAATAATGAGGCAAAAAAGAAAATAGTCAGATCGTATTATTTCGCGCAATTCGGGATGAAATTTTTTTTTTATATTCGTAACTAGTATCTTTTTTTAGAGGTTCCTTAAGGGTAGAGGGTATGATTTTTAAATTACATATAAAACTTATGGTCAATGTTTATTTAATTAAAAATAAAAACATATTTTCTTTTTTTTAATATTAATGGAAAACCATATTTTCTTAAGTAAACAATTTTTAGATATTAATTAAAAATTATAGAATAGGGTTTTCTGATTCTAATAATAATAAATTCATTAAAATTGGTTAAATTTTGATCAAGATACATATGTTTATTATAAATTGTTTATATAAATCATATGAAAATCATATGTTTTGGATCAATCAAGATTAATAATTTGTGTAATTATAGATAATTTGAAGGCATTACAAAGAACTTTGCAATATACATATGTTTTTTTAAAATATTTTATTTATAAAAAATTTTACTATTATAAAGAATATATTTTATTTTATATTATATAAAAATTTGATCATATTGGCTAATTTACACACTACATTAAAATTTTATACCCCCAAAATTTAGGGTACTTTTTATAAATAATAATGACTATTTAACTGCTAAAACTAATAATTTTATTAATACATAGAAAAATGAAAGTATGTACTAAAATAAAATAAAAAGATAGCTTATTAATATACAGAAAAATCAATATATGTATATAGTTTCTGATTATAATAATATATACAGTAGTACTTTTCTAACTTTAAATAAACAAATATAGTATACTAAGATATTTTAGTTTATGTCAGTAAAAGAAAAGAAAAATTTTGTCTAGAACTAATGACTTACTTATATCAAAAATCACTTATTACATGTTTTATTATATTATATATATAAAAAAGATAGTTTCGCAAAGTACAATAGTTGCTTTTTAACTAAAAATAATAATATTTCAATAAATTTATTTATTTTTATAGTATATTATTGTATAATAACTAAATATTTATTACAAAAATAAAGCTTAAATAATTTAATAACTAATATGTATTTAATAATAATTTCATAATAATTAATAGTTTCAATTTAATTTAAATAAATATATATTACAAGTAAAATTGTTAATAAGTTAGCTTAAATTAAAAATGGGGGTGAGTCAGTAGAAACGCACCATATTTTTTCTAAGTAAATTTTTATAAAACTTTAAACAAAGATAACTCAACAACAACTTTAACAAATTTAGTAAAAAAATTTTTAAAACAATTCTAAAAAAATATAGAATTCATTTAAAAAAATTTTTTATTAAATTTGATTAAATATTTGCTAAGTTATTTTTGTTTAAAGATTCAAAAAATTTCATTAAAAATGATATGGTGTGTTTCTACTGACTCACTCCCAAATGCTAAAAATTCTGATATATTTAATTAAAAATTATTATAAAAATTGGTAAAACCAATTAATAGTAAAATAAATCTAGCTAATTTTAATTGTTATACTTTGCAAAGATGTAACCTTACAGTTATATGAAAAACAAAGATTCTATACATAAATAATTCAGAATTTTTGGTATGACTTAATATTAATAAATTGTAGTTTAAATAATTTTAATTGCCTTTACCAATTATTTAGTTTATCTAGTTAAATTTAATCTACTAATAATTAGGCCCATATAAAATTTCTTTAATTGCTAACTTATATTGCAAGGCTAAATTCAAGTAACAAATTAGTTAAAAAAAGTAATCCAAATTATATATTATTATATTAACTAAACTTTAATAAACTTATTACTCTTCTGTTCTATAAATAGAAGAAAGATATTAGAACCAAATTTATAAACCCAAAACCTAAAACAAAAAACAAAAAGTAAAAGAAGTACTTATCTAAAGTTATATTTTAAATTTAATAATACTAAGTAATTTGAAGCAAATTAAATTGTTAAAATACTTATATTTGCTGATATTAATTCTATTAGATAATAAATTATCTGATACTCACTAGCTAAACAATAATTTAAAAGAAATTAACTTTAACAAACTTATTACTCTTTCATCCTATAAGTAAAAGAAATATATTAGTTAAACCAAATTTATAAACCCAAATTTAAAAAAATAAAAAATAAATTGTAATAATACTATATAAGATTTTTTTTTAAATAATATAATTTATTCAGCTAAATAAATAATTTAAAGAGAGTTAAAGTTATAAAAGTAAGTATTTATATTAAAATTTGCTAATTTTAATTTTACAATAATAATAAATTATTATATACTTACTGACTAAATAATAATTTAAGTTGTGATAATGTATTTATGTTAATGCAACAAGAGAAAGCATTAATGTTACATAATTGATTTTACACATAGTGTAAAACACATAAAAAAATTTTTTACAATACTTTACCGATTTTAATTAGTCAGCTAGAAGATGTTATAATTATAATTCAATACTATTTTTATTATAATAAAAATAATGTTGAATTATAATCATAATATTTTTTAGCTAACTGATCAAAATTATTAAAGTATTGTAAAAAAAGTTTTTTATATGTTTTACACTATGTATAAAATCAATTATGTAATATCAATGTTTCTTTCTGTTTGTTAATACTTCTGATTTTAATTCTACTAAGACTAAGTTATCATTAGCTCAATTTAGTAATCTTTATATCTATAGAACTATTTAAATAATTTTTGCTCAGTTTAATCTTCAAATAAAAAGATAAAATTTTTAATAAAAAGAGTATTCTATAAAAAGATATTTTGCACAAAAAATTACTTTGATATTACCTTTTTGAATTAGTACAACTATCAAATGTCAAATTTGAATATAGTATTTATCAAGCATTGCATTGTATCTTGTATATAATTCAACAAGCTATAGAATTTACAAAATTTATAAAATTTAATTAAAAAATAATAATAGTTTTGTGACCAAACTTATTTATAAAAAAAAAATCAATCAATATAAAAAAATTTTAATTGTTCTTTAAAAAATTATAATAAACTATGTCTCAATATAAATATGAAACAAATACTTATCCTGAAAATCTAGTAATATCTTACAAAACTCTACATCGAAGCATAATTTACACTATAATATTTAAAGGTGTATATCCAATTGCTAATAAATTAGCATAAACTAAAAAACCAAACTTATATAAAATACTAGATCAATATATAGTACAAACAAGTTATAAAAAAAAAAAAAACATATAACTATAACTTGTATGATTGACTATATTGAAAACAAACTATACTTCTTTGTCAAATTTGAAGATGACTTAAATGATTTTGTTATATCTGATCAAAGTGCATTATATGCTGCTAATGTATATCAAAAAGAAATGAATAAATGCCAAACATCTCAAATTGAAGAAAATTCTCCTAAAAGAATAAAAAAAAATATTACTAAATAGTCAAGAGTTTTGTTATTTGGTTTACAACTATAGCAAATTAAAGAAATATATGAGAAAAAATACATATATAATTTAAAATCTTTTGATAAATTAAATGAATCATAAAAATAAGCATATAATAAAAAACTTGAATTAGCTCTTTATAACCAAGTTTAAAATGCTACTGAAACTTTATTTTGTGATAGTGACAAAATAGTATTAAATAAATTAGTTTTTTTAATTAATAATAATAATTTTAAAATTATTTACAACTTATCAAATAAAGATTTAACAGAATTACAAGCTAAAGCTATTGTTAGAGCAATAAATATTGAGAAAATTTTATATTCTGTATATAGAACTCTTGCAGCTATTAATCATAATCTTCTACATGAATAGGCAATAGCAAAAATACAACAAACAATTACAAATAAAATTAATACAATAATTAAATCTTTAGTTTTGATCTAACATTAACATTAATTTATGAAATTCCAGATAACAAAGAGATTAATATCACTAATACAGAAATTATTGAGTCAGTAACTAAGTCAATTAGAATGGATGCATATAGATTAATTTAAGAAATTTTAGCCTATTTAATTTTAGTTTGGCTTAAAAAAGAAATTATAATAGTAGATTTACCTATTATTCATATTCGAATTTTCAAAGATGGGCATAATGTTAAAAAAAAGTAAAATATGTAATGTTTACATTTACAGTTTTAAATGATTTAGAAAATATTTTTAAACCTAATTATCATCATATTTTTATTCTTTATTCTGGCATTGAATATTACAAAAGCTTAGAAATTGCATTAAGTATCTTAATTTCAGATCTTAATAGTATTAAGAATTGTTATATAGATAAACAAGGCAGACAATAGCAAATAAAATTATACTTTAACACAGATTGGAAAATGCTTGCTCTTTGCTTAGAACACATGACTACTAATTCTAATCATTTTTGTCTTTGGTAAGATTCTTTTTTACTAACTAAAACTAGAGCTTTATATTTATATTTGTTATTCAAATAATAATTCATATTCAATAAATATTTGAATAAATAATTATCTAACAAATAATTCAAATAAACAAATATTATTTGAATAAGCAAATTTATTCAAATAATTTTTATTATTTGTCACATGAAACTTTAGCTATTAGTTGCTTCATATATAATAACTACATATTCATTTGGCAGATACTCAAATAAATATTTGCTAATTTAAATTATTTGAATATTCAAATAAGGAATTTGTAAACTCTAGCTAGAATTAATTATAACAAAAATATATTTAGTTTGAATTTCTCTAGTTTAAAGATTGGACCTGAGTAAAAATTGCTACTATATAGTTATCTGAAATATATAATTAAATTATAGGTCCAATCTCTAGTAAATTTTTTTTTATTATTAATCTAATTACTCATCTGTTAAATTTTTTCTAATTTTAGGTGTTATTGTAATAAAAATAAGAATAGAAATTTAGATCATAACTGGACAATTAAAAAAAATATAGAAGAAATTAAGAATTATATAATGATTAATAAATATAAGAACAAACCACTTTTTTCAATAATTTCATTTACTAATTAGGTTTCAAACAAATTACATTCACTGTTAAGAATTACAGATAGGCTTTGGATTTTAATTTTTTCAGAATTAAAAACTACTAAAAAGTTTGACAATATGAGAGACATCATTGTAATAAAAATGAAATGCATTAAAATTAAATTCCAATTTTGGCAAGAACAAGGCTTAAATATATAACAATATACTTCACTCATAGGTGATGACAAACTTAAAATGCTTAAAAAATTTGATTTATTTACTATTCTACTACCAGAATATATAATTTTAATTTATAAATTATAGAATAGCTTTCTAAACCTTTATACTAGTTTTAAGAGTCAAACAATTACAGAAAATCAGTTTAAAATTAATGCAATTGTTTGGCTTTAATTATTTCTTATGAGATTATTAAGAGAATTTAATAATAAAACATTTACCAAAGGGCTTTATAAACCTAATGATATTACTTTATATATATATATGATGATATACCATATATTTAAGTTTATTGATTTGCATAGAAACTTTAAAATAAGAGATTTTTCTTATTCAGCAGTAAGAAAAAAAACACCAACAAGTGTCTTTTTTTCAAAAAACTTTAGAAGATAAAGAAAACCAATATACTAGAAAAGCAGCTATTTTTGAAATACTAAATTACAATAACTGAAGTCTTTACTTTTATACTCATAATATTCTATTATACTTTAAAAAAGACAGCAAAATTACTATTTAACCACCTGATTATTTTACTATTAGTTAAAATATTTTAGAATTCTTTATTTAAAAGTTTTCAAAAATATCTTATATTTGTTATAAGTTATATTATAATATACTCAGCTTGTAATGTATGATTAACAACATTTATTAATTTGTGAGTTTGCTATTTAATATTCATTTCAAATATATTTGATTTGCACTTTTGATAATTTTTTTTCTTGCCAATTTCTAAATTTACTAAATCTGAAAAATTACTTGTTAAAGAAAGAATAATTATAGCTGTTTTTTGTTTTTGAGCATATTGTCTAATTCTCTTATTTGGATTTTTAAAAACTTATTTAACATTTTATATGCACATTCATCATTAAAATCACATTTATATAACTTTTTACTAGAAATATATTGTCTTAAATACCCTTCAAATATTGCAACAAATTGGCTTTCTATGCATAGGACAGATAAATATTGCTCTTCTGCTAAATTACTATTGTTAAGAAGTTTTTTTGAATTAAATATACTAATATTTTTTTAAATTTATGAACAAAATCAAATAGTAAGGTAGCAACTCCATCATGTAGTATGTTATAATCCAAATAAACAAGCTTTTCATATTACTCAAGGCCTCTTTTGGTTTTATAAGTTTTTTGTAGACACAATAAACAATAAACACATACAGTTAAAGAAGTGCTAACTCGATCTGAACTTGAATCATGTATACAATTCTTGTTTATTTGCAGACCATATTGGTTTTTAAAGCATCATCTTGGATACAAAGAGTACAAAATACATGGTAAGGTAGGTATAGTCAATGTTATAATATGGTTTATTATACACTAAATTGGATATAATATAATTCAAGTTACTAAACATCTAATTTCTATTTTTTTCATATTGATCCAAATAAGTTATAATTCATGCCTATAAAATCTCACAATGATTTATATTAGATTTTTTAATAAAATATACTATCTTTATTTTTAATTCATTACTCAAGTTTTTGAAATAACATCAAATAATTTTTGCAAAGATTCTTTGTTATTTGACAAATATTAGATCTTGTAAAAATAATTAATAATGCAATGTATAACCTCTTCTTGTCTTAAATATATAAAGTTACATGTTTTTACCTTTAAACAAAACTGCAAGTTTCTGATATCCCAACAAAATGAACTTAGAGTCTACTGTAAAAAATTGTATTGTATAAATATAAGTGACTAAATAAAATTTGTAAATGGATTTACAAAATTTTACCTTAACAGACTTAATCTCAAAAGTTGAACCATATTGGTATGCAACTAGTTTTTTTTTTGGTTAGCAATACATGATATAACTTTGTAAAAACTACTTATTTATATGACACAATAGTAAAATATTACTGAAGTAACTAGAAAATTATTCTTTAGAGCCTAGTTAAGTAAACTGAAAATTAAGTAAAGTTCATACTATCGCTTAAATATAATATAGTTTCTGTAATCTTTTGAAGTTACTTATGAAACTTGTATTAAAAGCTAAATCTAACTAAAAAATTATTTTAATTTAAAAACTTAAATTCAAATTTGAACCTTACTAAAAGATGGGTTTCTGCTCTAAAAAATAGGTTTCTACTATAAAAAATGAGTTAACTATTAGAAATATAGTAAATTAGAAATGCACTTGTTAAAATTTTAGAGTCATATATAATCAGATAATTGCTAAAAATTGTGTAACAATTATAAAATTGGGGATTAAACAAAGGTTCAACTCAGTAAATCTGCTAATATGTAAAATTAATTATAATAATAAAAAGTTTTATTAGTCTTAGAATTTACCAAATTTGAAAATTGAATTTTAAAATGATCTATATATAAATCTGCAAATTTGATTGATTATATCATATTTTTTTCTATCTTTTTTTCTTAAAGGTTTTACAATATTTTTTATATCTATCTGTTACTATACAAAAAATAAATAGTTAGCTTAAAGTATCTATTTTTGATTATTTTAATTAATTCTTTATAGTAGTCTAATTACAAAAAGATAAATAAAACTGTAAAATTGGAAATTTTATTTATTTGTTAGTTCTATTGTATGTTTTAAACCTTTTGAATAATTAACATAAAAAGTTAAACAAATATAGCATATTAGTAAAAATGAATAAAGCATAATAGTAAAAATAAATATAATATAATAACTAAAATAAATAGCACAATTAATAGATTAAAGACAAATATAATATAGTTAAAACAAATATAACATAATATATAGTTAAAACATGCATAGCATAATAGTTAGAATGAACATAATATAATATATAGTTAGCACAAATATAGCATGATAGTTAGAATATAAAAATAGTTAAAATAAATATAGCATAATAGTTAGCATAATAGTTAGCATAATAGTTAGCATAATAGTTGAAGACAAACTTATATAATAGTTGTAATATACTTAGAATGAATGTAGCATAATAATTGAAATAAATACAGTATAATAATTAAAACAGATGTAATATAATAATTAGATAACTTTGAGATAAATATAGAATAATAGATAGGTAAATTCAGAATAGGCATAGTATAAGTTAGTAGATTTGGATAAATATAATATAAAAGTTAGATAAATTCAGAGCATAATATAAAAGTTTAGTAGATTCATAATATAACATAAGAGTTTAGTAAATTTACAAAGCTTAATATTGATAGTTTTATAGTAGTTAATATTGAATTCTTAATATTATATTATAAATAATATTGTAATATTATATATAGTTAACTTCTTAATATATATAATATTATAATAATTAAATTTCTAATTTTTAAAATTACAAATAAATTTAAAAAAAAACTTTATTTACTTAATGAACAATTTTTAATTTGAATTATGCTTTAAAAATTTCTAAAATTAATTAATTAATGATTTATTATTATAAAAGATATAATTATTACTATTCATTTATAGTATATTCTTAAACTATATTAGTAACAAAGTTTTATTTTTTGTAAAATCACATTGTATCATTAAGATCATATAAAAAATAATCAATGTACCTTCTACTCTTAAAGTATAACATATTTTATATATTAATATATATACTGTTTAAATTGTATTTTTGATATCTAAATAACCAACTGGCTTTAACTATATCAAAAGAATAACTTTAAATACATCAAAAATATAACTTTTTTAACTCAACTTTAAACATTTTTTTTTAGTAACAACACCAATACAAGGATAATTATACATATATCACAAAATATATAATATATTATTTTTGATTGTTTTTAATAATTTTTAACAAAAATTAAAATATATAATT